CACAGAAGAATAAGCAAATTAAAGTGAAGTAAAGTGAAGTCGCTCAGTCGTGTCTGACTCTGTGCATGGACTGTAGCCTACGAGGCTCCTCTGTTCATGGGATTTTCCGGTCAAGGGTACTGGAGTGGGTTGCCATTTCCTTCTCCAGGGGATCTTCCTGACCCAGGAATTGAACCCCAGTCTTCTGCACTGCGGGCAGGCGCTTTACACTCTAAGCCACCAGGGAAGTCAATTAACAGTTCTTAAAAGATAAAGGCATTTATTCAGTTCATTTCAGTCTCACAGTCATGTCCAACCCTTTGCAATCCCAGGGACTGCAGCACACCAGGCCTCCCTGTCCATCACCAACTCGCAGGGTTTACCCAAACTCATGTCCATTGAGTCGGTGATGCCATCCAACCATCTCATCCTCTGTTGTCGCCTTCGCCTCCCACCTGCAATCTTTCCCAGCACCAGAGTCTTTTCAAATGAGTCAGTTCTTTGCATCAGGTGACAAAATTATTGGAGTTTCAGCTTCAGCATCAGTCCTTCCAATGAATATTCAGGACTGATTTCCTTTGGGATGGGCTGGTTGGATCTCCTTGCAATCCAAGGGACTCTCAAGAGTCTTCTCCAACACCACAGTTCGAAAGCATCAATTCTTCAGCACTCAGAGTTCTTTAGAGTACAACTCTCATATCCATACATGACTAGTGGAAAAGCCATAGCTATGACCAGATGGACCCTTCATTGGCAAATTAATGTCTCTGCTTTTTAATATGCTGTCCAGGTTTTTCATAACTTTTCTTCCAAGCAGCAAGTGTCTTTTAATTTCATGGCTGCAGTCATACTCTGTAGTGATTTTGGAGCCAAAAAAACTAAAGTCTGTCAGTGTTTCCACTGTTTCCCCAACTATCTGCCATGAAATGATGGGACCGGATGCCATGATCTTAGTTTTCAGAATGTTAAGCTTTAAGCCAACTTTTTCACTCTCCTCTTTCACTTTTATCAGGAGGCTCTTTAGCTCTTTTTCACTTTCTACCATAAGGGTAGTATCATCTGCATATCTGAAGTTACTGATTTTTCTCCTGGCAATCATGATTCCAACTTGTGCTTCATCCAGGCCAGCATTTCTTATGATGTAATCTGTATATAAGTTAAATAAGCAGGGTGACAATATACAGCCTTGATGTACTCCTTTTCTGATTGGGAACCAATCTGCTTTTCCATGAATAATTCTAACTGTTGCTTCTTGACCTGCATACAGATTTCTCAGGAGGCAGGTCAGGTGGTCTGGTTTTCCCATCTCTTTCATAATTTCCCATAGTTTGTTGTGATCCACCCAGTCAAAGGCTTTGGCGTAATCAATAAATCAGAGATAGATGTTTTTCTTGAACTGTCTTGCTTTTTTGATGATTCAACGGATGTTGGCAATTTGATCTCTGGTTCCTCTGCCTTTTCTAAATCCAGCTTGAACATCTGAAAATTCACGGTTCACATACTGTTGAAGTACAGCTTGGAGAATTTTGAGTATTACTTTGCTAGCATACGAGATGAGTGCAACTGTGTGGTAGTTTGAGCATTCTTTGGTTCTCCCTTTTTTGGGATTGGAATGAAAACACCTTTTCCAGTCCTGTGGCCACTGCTGAGTTTTCCAAATTTGTTGGCATATTGAGTGCAGCACTTTCACAGCATCATCTTTCAAGATTTGGAATAGCTCAACTGATATTCTGTCACCTCCACTAGCTTTGTTCAATAGTGATGCTTCCTAAGGCCCACTTGACTTCACATTCCAGGATGTCTGGCTCTAGGTGAGTGATCACACCATCGTGGTTATCTGGGTCATGAAAATCTGTTTTGTATAGCTCTTTTGTGTATTTTTGCCACCTCTTCTTAATATCTTCTCCTTCTGTTAGGTCCATGCCATTTCTGTCCTTTATTGAGCCCATCTTTCCATGAAATATTCCCTTGGTATCTCTAATTTTCTTGAACAGATCTCTAGTCTTTCCCATTCTATTGATTTCCTTTATTTCTTTGCACTGATCACTGAGGGAGGCTTTCTTATCTCTCCTTGCTGTTCTTTGGAACTCTGTGCTCAAATGGGTATATCTTTCCTTTTATCCTTTGCCTTTGACTTCTCTTCTTTTCATGGCTATTTGTAACGCCTCCTCAGACAATCATTTTATCTTTTTGCATTTCTTTTTCTTGGTGATGGTCTTGATCACTGCCTCCTGTACAATGTCAGGAACCTCCATCCATAGTTCATCAGGCACTCTGTCTATCAGATCTAATCCCTTGAATTTATTTGTCACTTCTACTGTATAGTAAAGAAATTACAATAAAATACTTCTTTTGAAATTTAATATCTCAAAATTAAATTTATTCTGTTTATTACCTTTATTCATAGTAGAGCTAAAGGTAATAGAGTAGTTGATTCTAAAGAAGAGATGAACCTTTAAAAGATTAATTAATTAACCTCAATTTACATAATGCCCTTATTATTTGCATAGTTAATGAGAAGAGTTTGATTATAGGTCATTAACAGTTATTAATAAGTGAAACTGTGTTAGAAATACTACTTGGGTTTGTATTTCAGACTCAGGAAACAAAGGTCAGTCATGAAATGTTAATAACAATATTCAAAGCATTAGGCATCAAAGTAACATTTAGCTTTCAGGCTTCACACAGTTCTGAGAGGATAATTCATGAATTTGCTAACTGGTCTCACTCTGCATGAATATAGGGCACATATCAGTATACATGAGTATATAAGCTAAACTTTTATTCATTTCAGATTTCCATTTAAATTACAGTAGTGAGAACTAGTTTATTATACTCACATATAAGACATCAATATGTTTTTATTCTTATTTCTTACAAAATGCTAGGTTCTACAACTTACATTCTTTCAAAGAAAGATGACAGATGGTTTTCAATTAACTTTTACATTTATTTTTATTTTCATAGGCAGCTTATGTTATGTAATTTAGAACTATTCTAACCTTTCAACTCTTGATTTAGTCAATTCAATTTACAATTTGAGGCATTCTCTTTATTTTCTAAAAATGCAATTGCCTCCAGTTAAAGATTTTAAAAACTCAAATAACTGGACTGCTATTTTTAAACAACTTACTTATCTAGTGATGAATAATCACTGAAGACCATTTAATGCCTTTAATTTCAAAGACATACTATATGTAATCTGATTTTTCCAATGATTTGGTTGTGCTTTTACAAACAACTGTGCAGGCCTCTACATTAGACCAGTGAGTGAGATTTGAGATAATGAACAGATAAATGAATTATTTTATGATCATCTGTTCAATTACAAACTGATACAGAACATTCTATAGTACATCTTTTGCTCTTACTCCCACTTTGTTCACTTTTCTCTTGCACTGCTGGGGTGCTCTCTCTCTCTATCTGGCATTCATATGAGTACTCTTGCTCTCAGGGTCTCTTCTGTTTCCTCTTTCATCTTTTAAGATGCTAACTGATGGAATGCTGTGAGAGTATGTTCACAAGTGGGCTCAGAGTAAAATGTAAATATTTTATTACCTGTTTTGTACTTTATACCTTCTCTGGGCATGTATCTGCTAGTGGTTAAATTAAATATGGTTTTCTAGGCTTTTCTGGCTTCTAAAAAAGTTTCTGATTCTTTATAATAGTTGATATATGACCATGTTAAGTGACAAAAAGATGGATTGTTTAACTTGCAAAGATGTATAATCTCAATCAATGGAAAAGAAAAGTGCTTATCCCAGTGCAGGAGACCCAGGTTTGATCCCTGGGTCTAGAAGATCCCCTGGAGAAGGAAACAGCAACCCACTCAAGTATTCTTGCCTGGAGAATTCCATAGACAGAGGAGCCCAGCAGGCTACAACCCATGGGGTCAGAAAGAGTTGGACATGACTGAGCAACTAACACTCCTTCCTTACAGCTCTGGGCACATAGTGAGCACTTAACAGGAGAGTTGTTGCTATAAATAAGCTTAAAATTTGAGAAAAAAGTCCTTTGTCAAGCCATGTGTCTTGATACAGTAATTATAGCATTTCATGTATTCTCTCCTCACCATCCTATTCCATTATCGGTAACATCTCTCAGAATCTATGCTGGTCCTCTTCATAAATTGGCTTTTGCTCAGTTTTCTGTATACATAAACTACATTACACTGAAATGCTGAAGAAAGATTTGGGAGTCAAAAGGTAGCTTAAATTTCCCACTTTTCATTTACTGACAGTGACATTTTTTTTTAAAAATCACTTAACCTTTTCTTGTCTTTGTAAAATGGGAATAATAAATCTCATTTCCTAGAAATGGATGTGAATTAAATATAATGCTATGTATAAATTATAATAAATGTTAGTCATTCTTTTTGAGATGCATTTCCCTCTGCTTTCAGAAAATACAAAGTACCAGAAGCCACACAATTCAGGGAATATATAGTAATCCTGTGCCAATTAAAAATATACACTCCAAGGGGTTAAGCTTCACAGTGTGATTAAGTTTTTTTTTTTTTTTTTAATGAAACATATACTGACAATGATAGCATTTCAATAAGATTGTACAAAATTTGAAAATATTGTGGTATTACCTTGACATTTAAGGAGTATGAAATCATTTTCTGCATTGTCATCCTGTTGTTTTTTTATAGTGGGTAAGTTATACTTGACTCTTCACAACCCCATAGGCTATAGCCCACCACACTTCTCTGTCCATGGGATTTTTCCAGGCAAGAATACTGGAGTGAATTGCCATTTCCTTCTCCAGGGGCTCTTCCCAACCCAGTGATCAAACCTGAGTCCCCTGCATCAGTAGGTGAATTATTTACTTCTGAACCAGTGGGGAAGCCTGAATGGTCATGTATCAATTCTTAAAGTGAATGAGCAATCATCTTCAAGTGTTAATGAACATTCTGCAATCTCCACTGAGGACTTTATTTTAGATATTTGTTATTTTGTTAGAAAATAAGTAAAAACACCATAAAATTCTTGTCAAATTCTTAAGTTAATACAACTTACTTTTTGAAGGAACTCGGAGATTGGCGAGGACCACTTCCAGGGAATCAGCTTGAACTCGAAGTACATAGCTTGTCCTTGTTTCATAATCCAGAGGGGCATTCACGTAGATTACTCCTGTGATGTTATTGATTCCAAACTTATCTAGAATCAAAATACAATTCCTTGGTCACTCTCTTCATACTATAAGGGAAAACAATTCTCTTTAAAAATCATAGTGATTTCAAAAACACATATAATAAGAGTAACACATCAAAGCTACAAAATTAAGGCTTTGGGAAACTCTGTTTCAGCTCTAGAAATTATCAACATCAGTGTTTCCCTAAACGTATGATTTGAAATTCTAGGTTTTGGGTTTTTTTGTTTTTTGCGATTCTTCTGGAAACTGATGTTTCTCTGGTCAATTAAGTCTGTGAAACAATATATACTGCATTCCTCACCATAGATACACATTATCTTCTACCATAGCAAATGCTTCTAGAAATCTTGTTTTAAAGAAATCCAATTAATTTTATTTAAGCAAGTATTTTATGATGCTGTTTTATTACTATTATTTTTATGATTTAATATATCTTATTATCCTGCAGATTTAGTGTTCTGTTAAGAACTCAAGGGAACAAACATAATTTAATATGTTAGTTATTTTAAAAGTATTATTTATTACTTTAAATATCCTAAAATGTTTGGCATTGAAGTTTATTTTTTAGAATAAATTTGGTCATACATATTTGAGTGATGAGCAGAGCACACTGGCAAACTTTATAATATCCTACCTCTTTCACTCTATCTTTTCACTTTGGTTTTCTCTACAGCATTTATAACTGCTTAAATACTATATATTCATTAGCTTGATCATTGTTATTGTCTAGCTCTTCTTATAGGATTGTTAAAGTCTACAATGATGATGATAACATGTGTACTCATTTGGGTCTGACTCTTTTGCAACCCCATGGACTGCAGCTCACTAGGCTCTTCTGTCCATGGAATTTTCCAGGCAAGAATACTGGAGTGGGTTGCCATTTTCTTCTCCAGGGGATTTTCCCAACCCAGGGATCAAAACTGTGGCTCCTGCTGCATCTCCTGCATTGCAGACAGATTCTTTACCACTGAGACACTATTTTGTTCACTTCTTTCTCCTTAATCCTGGAAGGTACTGAGTACATGATAAATGCTCAATAGGATGAGTAGACTAAATTGGCAAGCAAATTAATTGAATGTAAAAATAATCATTGTGATGGTGTGAGGGTAGTAAGTAGAACCACCTGTCTATATTCAAGGAAGAGAACAGATAAAATCACAGAGAAAAGTCATAAGAACAAAGTGAGAAAACCATAGCTGCAGTCAGATATAAGTTTAAGGCAAAAGGAAAGTCAGTGATATTCAGGGAGGAGGCATAACAGCCCAGGTGAAACAAAGAAAGTCAATAAGAAAAGTACAATATTTAGGACTTGCTTTAGGGGCAATAACTTTTAGTAATGGTTGATCATTGAAATGATTTTATTTATAAAAATTGAAAACAACTTTCATAATTTCCTTGTAAACTGCTTTACAATATTAACATCTCCTAATTTAATATTGAAATGCATTTGTTTATGAAACATATATTAGCTTTTTTTTTTTTTAACCATCTATAACATTCCAGGCCATTTAACTCATAAAAGGGAAAACCAGAGGACAACTAACTGTGGATAATAGGAAAAAAAAAAAAGAATCAAAATGCTAATATAAAACCGAGTCACAAACTTATTCCTATAGGCTAGCAAGCCAATCTGTTCTCTGTGAAAAGTGATTGGTAGACAAAATCAAACTATTTGTTTACTTATAACTGTTGATTATATGTTTGCTTTACCGAGGAATCACACAAAATGCACATGAATTTTATGAGGCATGTAGCTCTTTGGTCATCCACAGTTATTTTTGCTCCTAAAATATCTTCAGGATTAGCTAAGGTATGACATGGGTTAAGGGTTATAGATGGCACAGAACGGTGGTGAGAGACTACTTTAGGCAACGATTGTGATCAAAAGCTGAAAGTACACATGAATTAATTTTGAATAAATGTCATTAAATATCCCTAAGTCAGGGAGAGGTGAAGGCTTTCAGAACTGGATATTGAGTCTTCCCTAGTGGAAATTAATAGCCTTTGTCAATATAACTGGATTTTTAATCAGATTTAGCACATAATTACATCTAAGTTAGACACATCTTACTAGAAACATAAACAGTAATGAAATCTGAAATTTATTCCAAATCTAAGTTTATTGTTTTATGATGAAAAGTGTTAGTCACTCAACTCTGTGCAACCCCATGGACTGTAGCTTACCAGGCTTCTCTGTCCATGGAATTCTCTAGACAAGAATGCTGGAATGGGTTGCCATTTGACTAAACATATACTCACCCTCTTCATTTCCTGCAACAATGGAGTATACAATGCTCTGATTGATGGCTGCAGCAGAAATTACACCCACCATAGTCCCTCTGGTTGCAAGTTCACTTACTGGAGGAGGTCTGCAGGGTGCAAGAGAAGATAATTTATTTTTATTGTCCATTTCCTCATGGTGGAGCTTTGTATTTAATAGTAGAATATGTTAATCTTGTATTTGTTATTATTTGAATAGTACTATTTTTGAACTTTTCAGCAAAATACCACATTCAGACCCTAGGCCTAACAAACTGTGTTCAAAATTATGCAAATGTTCTTCATTAAGAATGTCTTGTCATCTGTACATTACTGCTTCAGCATCTCCAAAATAGTGTATAAAATTCATTTTGCTTGTCTCTGAAAAAACTTCTGAATAGAATGCAATAGGTAGATACACTTGCTATCTCAAGTTGCTGAAGAAAAATATGACTTTTACATTGGTAATATTAGCATATTTAAGAAAATGACCTTCAGTTTCTATCTAGTCTAGTCCTTATCCTTGCTCTACTATAAAACTTTAACTGTCCTAAAAGTATTTGAATGGATGACATCATAAAATTAATATTTCTTTTGACTTCACTTATTTTACTAAACTTTAACCATATTATGCCCCCCATTCAGTGATACTTAATTTTACTTATTTAAAACATTTTATTGAACTATAGCTGATTTACAATGTTATGTTAACTTCTGCTATACGTAAAAGTAACTCATTATATGTATATAGTCTTTTTCATGTTATTCTCCATTAGAATTTATTACAGGATATGGAATATAGTTCTTTGTGTTATATAGTAGGACCTTGTTCTTTATTCATTCCATAGTTAGTAATTTGCATGATACTTAATTTTAAAAATATGTTTTCAACAACATACTATCTCATATTCTAAATCTCCATTTTATTTTACAATATTGGTCACTGCAGCTAGGCTATTAGAACTTTATCTTCATAAACCAATGAAAATAATCCCACCCTTATAATTCACAGATACTGATAACATCCAGCTTCAAAAGATTTAGAAAATTCTTAAACATAAAGTTCTGATTCTTGTTATAGTCCAATCAATCAATCTAAGCCATCTGAATTCTATAAGATTTAGCCTCTTTTCTCAAACTGATAAGATAAATCCTACTGTCACTCTTTCATGTGGCCTTTTATCTTTTATCCTTCATTTTTATCACCATCTTCTGAGTTCTTCTAATCTAGATTACACTACACAATTATATACTGTACTTAATGAAGCCTTTTATAACAAATTCTGAGTTACTAATATAGTATGAAAAATTAATTACATACAATTCTTAATAAATATCTTGTCCAAAATATTATGCTATTTGCCACTGTACTCCATATACTGGACAGACTAAAATTACCTAAGTGTAAAGTGACCTATCTTACAGATAACTACTATAGCACCTAATGGAGGTCCACATCTCCACTGCATGGTCAATAACTATTTCTTGATAAAGTATAAGAACTAATCTGTATAATTTTAATAAAATTAAATCTATCCATTTATTTACTTGTTTAATTTTACTTCTCTGCATATTTTCTGTCTTCTTTTTTAATAGCATCCAGGTATAGTTTTGGATAACCACATCTCCTTAATTATTAGTCTAACTGTTTTGGGTAGAACTGACTGACTCAATGGACATGAATTTGAGAAAGCTCCGGGAGTTGGTGATGGACAGGGAGGCCTGGTGTCCTGCTGTCCATGAGGTCACAAAGAGTTGGACAGGACTGAGTGACTGAACTGAACTGACCAAATCCCCAGGGTATATGCATAGACACATTACCCAGCTCTGGCTAATGAGGGCATTTTACGTTTATTGCTCATATTCATGTGTGACAAATGTCTTATGCAAACTTGTAACCAATAAAACATACACACAAAAAAAGTTTTGCTGTTGGCTAGAATTTTAATGTTTTTCCCTATAAGAAGGTTCTTGTTAATAATACCAACACAAATGGAATAACTAAAGGTTGAAAATATATCCACTACACTTTGATTAGTATTCTAAACGCTGTTATAATTGAAGCTGGGTAAACTCATCATTTCAGTTACTATTAGTAAAACAAAATTCTCCTGCATTTCTCCTTATATCTAGTATTTCAGTCCCTTGAAATCAGGAGTTCCAAGTAATTAAAAAAATGTTTAGATAAAAAAAGGATACATTCACCTATGTAGGCACTTTTAAAGAAAGTTAGGTCTGAGATAACACAATTTTATTTTATAAGCAATTCATCTAGACATTGTCACAGTGTCACTTCAGTGAAATAGGGGTGACTTTTGTAACCTTGAACCTAAAATAACAGTTGTCTACCACAAAAAAGTAAGGCACCTAGAAAAGTGACACTAAGATTATTTTGATGGACTAATTTGATTATGAATAGAAATCTTTTGTATGATATTTTAGATTATAAACAGACATTGAGACTGATTGCTGTTTGCCACATTGGCTTGTGGTTGACCTCAGTGGCTGTGAAATCATTAAACCTGGAAAGGATTAAAATTAGAGAGCTATGGAAACACATTATGATCCTCCATAATCTTCCACCTTGGTTTTCCTACTACCCTTGTGTATCCCTTTCTTTTTGTTGGAGGGTCAGACTGTGACTTCTCTCTAATAAACAGAATACAGCAAAGAAGATGGGATGTCACTTCAGTGATTATGTTACATAAGATTATAGCTTTTCATTCTTGCTAGTAGACTCTGACTACCTCCCTTGCTGGATTTAATGAAGTAAGTGGCCATGTGAGATGGTGAGTTCTGACCAATAATCAGCAAGCAACTGAGACCCTCACTCCAACATCCATGTGGAACTGAATCCAATCAACAAAAGCATGAACTTGGAGGTGGACCATTCCTTTGTTAAGCCTCAGTGATATTCTAACCCCAGACAACATCCTGACTAAAACCTGTGTAAGAACGTGAAAGGTTCTTACAGATAACACATTCTTGATCTACAGAAACAAAAATGCTAAGTGTGTTGTTTTAATTCATTACATTTTTTTTCAACAATTGAAAATCTTTTTTTATGTATAACAAAAGCTCCAAATGATACCAACAGTCCACTTTATGGACACACCAGACTAGGAGGAACTCCCCCATAAGTGCCCAAGAAGTAAAGATAAAAATATTTGTGCCAAATTCTACTAGCAAAACATTACATAAATATTTAATATCCATCACAGGAAAAATCAATACATTGTGGCATACTGTCACAGTAGAACTTATAAGTGGAAATTAATAAAATGAAGCTACATATATGAACATGAATAAAGCAAAAAAACAAAAAACAAAAAACTGTGTTGAGTATAAAAAATAAAAGTTCCAGTAGATTATATATAGTATGATAATATTTATATAAAAGTTAAACATGCTAGTAATATATATTGCTTAAGGATTTATACATATGTTGTAGAAGTATAAAATTGTGATTGATTTTATGAATACCAAATCTAGTGCAGTAATTTTGAAAGGGACAACAGATCACAATAGCAAAATGTTAACAGTCTGCAAACATAGCATGGTAGGTAATTACATGGATATTTTTATATTATAAATTTCAGAATAGAAAAATGTTATTCAACTTAGTGATTTAAAATACATGTGTGTTAAAATGAAATCACACTTGCAAAAGCTCTGGATGAAAGTAAAAAGTGCTCTTAAATTAAGTATTCATGATCAGGGGCATGATGGAAACCTGTTTTCTTTATCTACTTGATTCTCTTTGGGATGGAGGCAGGGTCAATTTGAAGCTCAGTGCATCAGAGCCCAGACATTCTGGATCAACGTGATCAATGTCCATCCTTGACTCAATTCCAAAGGTCAGAGAAGGAACATAGGAGGGTGTATGGAAGGGAGTGTGTTCATGATGGAGATGGGGAAAGCAGAGTGAAGGGTGGGGCATCTTGAGTTATCTCTAGTCCTTATAGCTTCTTTCCACTTGAGCCCCTTGCACAAGGAGGGAGGCAGTATATCACAGAGTATGCAGGACCTGTTACAGTTTCCACCACCTGTGGAAGTAAGTGACTATGAAACTGATCACCAGTACCATTTTGAAGCCCAGGAGAAAAGCCACAAAGATAAAGGCAGGCATTTCTGGACCTGTGCTCCCAGTGGGTTTGTATATGTCCTGCATTGCTGTAGACACTATGAGGCTGGCCTGGATGGGAGACTGGGTCTCCTGCTGCATGCTGCACCTTACAGGTAAGTACACATTCAGACTCCTGCACTGAGACACTCAACAAATGCAAGCTTTCCAAGGTATAGGTCCCATCACTATTCTGCTTGGACAGAGGTTGCACAGCTCCCTTGAACATATGGCAGTTCTCCAACCAGCTGAGATGTACATTCTGTGGATAGAATCTCTGCATATGGCAGGTAACTGCCACTCCATCCAAGGAGTGTGAAGACTGGGACACAGTCACTATAGAGGGGATTGTCACAGCACAGAGAAAGCAGAAAATTGCCATAGGAAGTTCACCATGGGAACCAGCAAGCTCCCTAAAGATAGGGGTCCTCTGCCCAGGGCCTGCCACAGAGGAGTTAGGTGTTGGTTAACAAATACATGCATAAGTGCATGAGTGAATGCATGCTTGGATGGAAGCAAAGAATGATGAAGCCATCTTAATCTTTCCTTTCTTTTCTACTGTGGACATTCAATAGAAAAAGGTGAACTTGAATTTCATTTAAGAACCTCTGAATCAACTGACTTACTCTATAACTTGATGAAGCTTCCTAACTTCTAACCTTTTTAAAAAAAATTTTATTGAAGGATAATTGCTTTACATAATTTTTTTGTTCTCTGTCAAGTCTCAACATGAATCAGCCATAGTTACCCTCCGTTTTAAACCTCCCTCCCATTTTGCTCCCCATCCACCCCTCTAGGTGATACAGAGTCCCTGTTTGAGTTTCCTGAGTCGTATAGCAAATTACCATTCACTATCTACTTTACATATGGTAATGTAAGTTTCCATGTTACTCTTTCCATACATCTCACTCTTTCCTCCCCTCTCCCCATATTCATAAGTCTATTCTCTATGTCTGTTTCTCCACTGCTGCCCTGTAAA